AGAAATTGATACCAATAACCTTTTTATAATACCCTCTTTTTAAAATACCTCTTTTTTACCATTTTCATTTTTGCCCTCTCTTAAATTTTAATGGTCATTTTACCCCTATTTGAAAGAATATCCTTTCCCAAAGGAAGGCATATTCCTTCCAAAAAATTTCCGCCAAAAACTTTCCCGCCAAAAAAAAATCGGAGAAAAGTTTTCCCGCCAAAAAATATTCCGCAAAAATTTTCCCGCAAAAAAATTTTCCGAAAAAAATTTTCCCGCCAAATTTTTTAAAGGGTTTATAAGATTTTTTTAAGGATCTTTTAAAGGGTTACAAGGGTTTTTAAAGGGATTTACAAGAGTTTTTAAATGGTTTTTAAACGATTTGTAATGGTTTTTAAAGGGTTTTAGAAGCCTACAAAGGTTTTTAAATGGTTTTAAATGATTTACAATGGTTTTTAAAAGTTTTGAAAAGTTTATAACAGTTTTAAAAGGATTTACAAGGATTTTTAAAGGTTTCTAAAAAGGATTTACAAGTGTTTTTAAAAGGATTTACAAGTGTATTTAAAGGCATACAATGATTTAAAAATAGTTTTAAAGGATTTACAAGGGGTTTTAAAGGGTTTTAGAAATTTACAAAGGTTTTTAAAGGGTTTACAAAAGTTTTTAAATGTATTACAAGTTCTTTGAAATGGTTCATAAGGATTTACAAGGGGTTTTAAAGGATTTTAGAAGTTTATAAAAGTTTTTATTTAATGATTTATCACGGTTATAAGGGGTTTAAAGGGATTTACAAGTGTTTATAAATATTATAAAATGATTAACAATGATTTCAAAAGGTTAACTCAAGTTTTGAAAGATTTTGGATGACTTTTAAAAGATTTACAAGGTTTTTAAAGAATTTTTTAAGGGATTTAAAATTATTTACTAGGTTTTTTAAAAGATTTTTTAAGGAATTGCGGAAAAATTTTGGCTGAAAATTTTTGGCGGAAAAAATTTTGTCGGAATTTTTTTGGCGGGAAATTTTTCGGAAGGAATATTCTTTTTGTTGGAAGGAATATTATTTTTGTTGGAAAGAATATTCTTTTTATTGGAAGAATATTCATTTCTTCATCATGGGTTATAATAAAGGAGAGTAATTTAGTCTTTTTGTACATTGAAGAGGGTATTTTTGAAAATGGATACCTAGAGAGGGTTATTGTAGAAAAATGTATCATAAAAATGTTAGTTGTGCAAATCCCCCTACAAGTTTTGCGCATATATTTATATTAAAGTTATTTTAATTATATATAGTTTATTTGTTTTTAGGAAAGTTGTGTTACAATAGGTGCAGTCTGAAAGGCTTTGAAGAGTTTTGTAATATATAGTATTTAGGCAAAAATATATTATGTATTTTGGAGATACTATGTAAGACATTTATGTTTCTCTGAACATATGATATTTGATTATTTTTTTAAATGGTTAATTGTCTGATTTCTTGTTTATGTTAATTCCAGTTACATATACATTTCAAATCAATTTGGCTGAATAACAGACGCTAACTCCATATATAAACCACTTTAATCCCAGTGTACTATCAAACTATTTTAAAACTTATGTATGTTATTTAATTCATTTATTTTGAGTTGCAGGCACACCGTTTTCTAATTTAGAATGCATAAATTATTTGGATTAAAAAACTGTTCAAGTGTTTTTTTTTTGTAGAATTTTTATTTATATTATTAGTTATATTATTTTTAATTATTTTCATATTATTTATTTACCGGCCCCATTGCACATATTATAGAGGGTCTTAATTTTTTTAATATAAATAAATGAAAAATGAGGAAAAATACAAATTATGAGCATCTCCATCACACATACTAGAGAATGTCTACAATTTATAATATAAAAAGAAATATTAATATTGTAACAAAAATGTTTTAGAAAATGTGAGACACTGGGTTTAAAATATCTTAGTAAAGAAATTTTGATTGAGCTTGTTGTTATTTTAAAGGCACCCATAATATAATATTAAATAGGATTTATCCCGTTGTACACCATGTGTCCATAATTTATATAGTTGTATGGTTGGTCATTTTGATAGTTGGTTTATATAGTCTAGTTTTTATACATGTTTATTTCATTTTCATTTTATATAATTTATAAATTTGTATTATAATTAGATGCATAGATATATGTGATCAACCGTCCACCCACGGTACATCGTGGAACGATTTTGTTGTAAAAAAATTATATTTTAACTTAAACCGCTAAATATTTTAAATATAGAAGACCCGTAGAAAATATAATCATATTTATGTAAACTCAAACCCATTAAACCATATTTCTGTACAATATTATTATATTTTTAATTTTGTTAGAGTTAAGTTATTAATAATTTAATTTTTTGTAGAGTTTAAATATTTTAAATATTTTAATATTATATAAAGATTAAATATTATAATATTTGATGTTCTTAAAAGTTTTAATATTTATAAAATTTTGAAACTTTTTTAAAGTTTTAATTTTCTTAAATAAAGAACCGGATTAAACCAAATAAAATAATAATTTGGATGCCTGAGAAATCAAACTTCATGATCATTTGTAGTTGGGAGCATATTAGTCCTATTTATAATGATTTTGAACTATTATTAAAAAAAATTCTACTTTGTACATACTTTTTTCCCTTTATCGATTGACTAATATACGTCCATTTTCAAAATTTTAAATTGTAAAATATGCGAAACATAATTTGCATTGTTATTATACATAAATTTTATGTAATAATATAAATTAAAAAACAATAAGATTATACAAATATATTGGAGAGGGATTCAATTTATTAGAAAGATATTTTAGAAACTTTTTTGATGTAACAAATATTGATTTCCAATTTTGCGATTTGCTTGTGATTGAATTACAAAATTGACTTTTAAGTTTTGTTATTTATTTAAATGGCAAGAGTTTAATTATGTAAATATTACAAAATAAAAGGTTATAAGCCTAAATAGATTTTAGTACAAAATGTACTTAAAAAATGTATATATATAGATATAATATGATTAAGTTTAGTTTGTGACACCCAAAATAATTGTACAATGGGCTGGGAGTGGTAAATAACAGGTAAATCTATTATTTTTTAACGATTGAATATGTATATTTTCCAAATCTAAACGGTTAAATTTCTTAATATCGTAGAATAATGTAATATTTCTATTTAATTTATAATTATAATATATTATCGAGTTGATAATAATTAATAAATGATAGTTTCATATTTACTAAGAAGAATATAATCTCTACGATGGCTGTGTTTTCAAATTTATTAAGAAAATCTAATTGATATCATATTTGTTTCTAATTTTGTACAAATTTTGATACCACTTCAAGTATAAAAATAAAATTAGATTAATAAATAGTTTATTGCATTATTTTATATACTTGAAATTCATGTATTTAAATGAGTACTAATCTAGTATTATTATAAATTATATTACTATCATTTAATTTTGCTAATGCAAACATGATTAAACATGTTTAAATCATGTATGGTGTCAATCATTATATTGTTTTTGCAAACTATACTAACGTCACTTGGTAGATATTCATATCGGTCTAACCAGTCATACTGTGTTATCGAACAAAAAATAGAGTTGATTTTTTTTTTTAAATGACAACATAAAGCTAATTAAGCCAATAACTAGGCTCGTGAGTACACCTTACATTATATACTTGTGTTTTAGTTTTCCTTTCAAATCTCGATTAATTTCTTGTATATGTATACTTGTCCTCCAATGACTCACTAAGAGCACCGAATAGCGGACCTAGGATGAATTTTTACCTATGTCAAACATAAGTTTAAAAAATAAAATTGACGAGGCAAATTGGTCCCAACTTCGCCGCACTGGACTGCAAGTGAATTGGCGCAAAGTAATCTGGTTTTCAATACCAAAACATTCTTTCGTGGTTTGGCTAGCTGCTCGGAATAGACTCACAACGGAAGAACGTAGAACGTATGTTGTCCTGGAACAGATGAATGAATCCTGCATATGTCTTTTGTCGGGCACCTCTGGAAACGTTGCCTAATCTTTTTTTCCGTCTGCCCCTACTCTTCTTAGGTTTGGCAGGCTTTATCTCGAAAGCTTATGCCACACCATTTTTCTCAGCTTTTGGTTCTTCTTTGGGGTCAAACTTTTCAAGGCACCAGCTGCTTCATTTTGTGTCTTGCTTTCCAGGTTGTAGTTCACACGCTCTATATAGAATGTAATCGGCACAAACATGGGGCATGCCAAACACCACAGACCGGTAATCCTTTTTTTTGGACCATATGGTTCGTAACAAGCTTCTTTCAATGTAGGACCATTCGACAAAGTTTGGTGATGGACTCCAACTTTGGCTGGCTACTCCCACAGTCGCACCTAAACTATTCTCTTTCACTTTGCTTCGAATTCTTTTACACGTTTCTAAGTTTTATTCAAATCTTTCGATGAAAGGATGCTTTCATGTAAAAAAGAACTTTTTTTTGTTTGAATATATTTTCACATTCATTTATAAAAAAAAAAAAAATTACTCATGTCAACTGACCTCCTCTTCTTGCATGTAAGTCTGCCAGAGAGCACTTACAAAAGGGTGCTTAAATGATGTTATAGGAAGTTGCTTAGTCATAAACTATTCTCTACAACTAAGATTATATAAGGATTGATGCTTATTTAGGGTGTTTAAAATCAGCTAACGATCTTCTTTATTTACCATATCCTTACTTGCACCTCTCTCACTCTCATTCTCTAACAAGTCAGGTCTCATAAATATGTGTGTGTACGTAAGATTGGTTTTATCATATGAAAAGTTGCAAGATTGGTTTAGTTGGATCAAAAAAATCATATGTACCGATCAGTATGAGGAGATCAAATTAGTTTGTGTGCGATTTTTGAACTATTTTTTTTTGAAATATTATAATTTTTAAATTAGTTTTTAAGCACCCCAAATAAAATGTTACCATTGGATAGCCATAATTTTAAAAACTAATCAACAGATTCTTAACCTAGAAGTTTTCAAAATTAATAATAAAAATTAAAATTTGGTAAACAGTAAACACCTTTCACACCATTGGAGTTGGTCTAAGTAGAGTTAATGCGATTATACTCTATCTCTAAAATACATTTGAATATCAACTAATTAAGCTGTATGTTATACTACATAGGGATAACATGTTAGATTAAGATCATATTTAGCTAATTTTTTGACATTTTCCCCCATTTATCAGTCGTCGCAATATAACATTAGATATCCTCTTTTTATTTATTAATTTATTCTTTTGTGATTTCCCAAAACAAAAGAAGATAAAGCTAGCTTTACTCTAAAGCTTTTATCTCTTCCTTAAACTTGACCATTGCAACTCTTGGCAATGTAACCACAATCTGAACCCCTCCGACCATATCTGGTTCCAACCTAGATGGTCGCATGAACATATTAACCATCCTAGCTGTCTCGGATGGGACGACCGGGACGACATTAACCGGCTCATCCCACCCAAAATCCATCGATCCAAAGATCCCTATATTCCGCCAATCCGTCAAACAAAACAACCCATCTTTTTTTCCCTTGATCGTTAGATTCATCTTAATAATCTTTTCAGTGTTTACAAGCTCTTCTTGGAGATAATCTTTATGTTGAGCCTTTCTCTTCGCTTCTTTTATGAGCTTTACGATATCTGAAACCGTCGATTCTTCCACTTCTCTTGTGGTTAGTGGCACATACATATCAATATATGCATTGCCATAGTATCCGTCGGGCAAAGGTGGATCCACGACGTTTCGAATTCCTACACTTAAACCCAAAACAGTGACTCCATCTCGATCCAAATCAAGAGCTTTAACTCTTGACTTCCATAGATAAGCACTTATAACTTCAAAAGTTGTGAGTGGCTCACTAGAGAAGTCATATTCGTTCAATGTAGCTTCTTTCAACCTTCTTATGCTCTCCGCTTTAATATTTATTTTCTCAGTTACCTGATTACAGTTATAAATATGGAATCAAGAAAATTAACTTTTAGACCAAAAATAAACTAAAGGATCTAGTATTTTTCATAAAACCTAATTGTGGTAAATAGTTTTATCAAAAGTATTATTTTTAGCAACTTTACCAATTTTTATATACACATAGAATTGATTTCTTATATATGCAAAAATATTGTCATTCTGACGTCTTGATTTTTTTTTGGTCAATATGTAAGCAAAGTATATTTCATAAGTATATTAAGTATGTTAGTGTTAACTGTTAATTAATGAGGCATTTGAAAAATACTTGTTGTTTAGTTTTTTTTACTTCTTCTAAACATACCAAACAAAAAATCAACTTTGTAAGAATATTTACGAACCAAAATTTTGGTTTGAGAAATTAATAATAATAATAAGTTGTATATTATGAAGGGTTCAATCTAAAATTTTTAGCAAAAACCCTTTTTTTTTGTTAATGTATTTTTGCATTTTATATTATTTTAATCTCACAAACCAATTCCTATTTATTTGGTTTCAAGACGGCTCAATACATTACCCAATCATCGGTAGGTAAGTAGGGCGACGCAGCTGTGTCTCCCCGTGGAACTAATGGACGTTGATCATCGACGACAGGCTCCCCCACAAGTCTTTCCCTTTCCCAAACTGGTGTCACTGTCAGCTTCTTTTTTCCACCAGCCAACTCTGTTAAGGCACACATGATATGACCAAGTCCATATCCATCGCACATTGCATGCGACGCCGCTAAACCTAATATGAATCCTCCACAGCCAAATTTGGTCACCTGTCATTAAATAATTATCTTTGTTATTTGCTTATTTGAAACATCAAAGGGTTAGGTTAGGTATGTATGTACCTGCAAAGCAAAAGGTCGATAACCATCCTCCACTTGGATCTCTGGCAAGAACTCTAAAGCCGTGTCTGAGTCAATGTTGTCTAAATACTTCAATGAAGACAGTTCCACATTTGTAGTAGCCACCGTGAAAGCCACACCTACTTCATCTCCTCCATAACTCAACTGAAGCTTCTGATCACTCTCCCGCCGCTTCAAACTCCCTGCAAGTGGATAGTAATACACAAGAAGATCGGACAAAGCCTCCCTAAGCAAAGACTCCGGCCGGTCAACATCACCATTAAAAGCTTTATTTGCTCTGAAAACGTAACAGACCTTGTACATGACCTCATTGTCTGGATCATTGTCAAGTGTTGAAAGGGAAAGAGTTTGTGGAGGTATGTGTTTTGAAGGTTTCACCATTTCGGTGAGTTTTTTTACAGCCATTAAAGGGATCTGTGAGCTTACTTGGACTGGCATGTCGTCTAATGTCTTAACTCTTTATCGCTTTGAAGACATATAATAAGAGACTTGCCTTTTATAGAGAAAGTTTTGGTATTTAGCTTGATTTTAGAATATATTTTAGTTATTATATATTTCTAAACATTGTTAAAATATGTGGAGAGTAATATTTGTTCTTTTAATTCAAAAATATTAGGTTTGTTTTCTGTATGTACTCTATAGTTTTCTTTCTTTTCTCTATTTAGCAAAGATTTTTGTGTTGTTGACAATATATATTTTGCTCTAATGTTGTTACATTTATGATGATTAATCTATCAGATCTAGCTACATGTAATACATGCAGCTCTCTCTACAACATTCGAATTCTCTATTAACGATTATTATACCTTTGCATGTTTTACATCCTAACTCTCAAAACCATGACGAAAGAACAACTCTGCCTACGATACTTTTTATTTGTTTTGATACTAATGTTGGTAAATTTGGGTAAGCCTTTAATGATTTCGACCTAAACAAGCAATAAAATAAGGCATATTGGATTGAATACCCATTAATTTTGTGGAATTTTTACAATCCCTTAGACACGAGAATATAACATGAGACACGGGTTATACAGATTAAAAAACATATATTTTTTTCTTTTTCCATAAAAATTCTATTAAATACAATGAATTCAACCAATGAGAAAATATGATGTATGATATGATTGATCAAAATTTATTAAATGCATTAAATATTTGTATAAAAAAATGAAAACATCACTTAAATGAAATAATTTTTTAAGGCTAAAACATCACTTAAAATGAAACGAGAGAATACACTCTTTTGCTGAAATTGTATTTAATATTTTTTTTGGTAGGATAGAGGAGACAAAAAAAAACTTTCGCATGTTAGTAAAAAAAAATTTTTTACTATAAATCACATTTGGACCTTTTGAAGGTGGCAAATACCCCCTAACGTCTTCGAATAGTCACAACATCCAGCTTTAAAGACAAAGATTGAAAACCTAGTGATAGCGAGAAAGCATATCAACCGGAGATTCTTAGATACCCCATTACGTACGTTACTATCACATGAAGCCTTGGCAATGAATACCAATCAATCATGGAGATTTCACAATTTTCTAAGATGACCTCACAGTTTTCACAATTTTCTAAGATTGAAAACCTAGTGATAGCGAGAAAGCTTTATAATCGTGCACGTGGGAATTATCTATACCACTTGGAAATTATTCATCTCTCCATGTTACAACGGAAGCGGATCAATATAAACAACAAATAATCCTTACAGGTTTAATGTGACTAAGTAACAATAAGGGTGAATGATGTTGACGGTGTTTGGTGATGCAAGCCTTTGAGTCATGAAGGCTGGATTGTTAGCACAAGGATGCGGATGAATGGAGAGCGATTCAGAGACTCATATTCTATAAAGTACATAATGAGGTAAATGTATTCTTTTGATGGATGTTATAGCTTAATTATAGTTAAGAATGTGTTAAGCTTCATGTTAGCATTTTTAAGTGTGTTTTTGTGAAGTTGATTTTTCTCCAGAAATTTCGCCGGAATGTTTTTTCAGGTGTGTTTTTAGTTTACGGGTTAGGGTGTCTCACTTAGACCCAATGTTAGTATAATTAATAATCCATGGCTTACAATTAATTAAGGACATATATATATCCACTTATTATTATTTGATGTTTTCAACTATAATTTTTGTGGTGATAAATATATTATATGTTTATTGTCTAGTTTTTTTTTCTCTGGGTTAAAGTAGAGACTTTACTACTTAAATTATGATTTTTTTTTTTTGAACTTATACTATTTCGAGTTCCACCACATAAATGTATTTATTTACACTCAACTTATATTTATCTTAAAGTTGAACACTTTTAACATATACTACTTCTTCATGTTCGCTATGACTAGAAGAAACATTTTTCCAGATGATTCACCATCACTAGATAAGACTTTCAACACACAACAATTCAGTTATCAAAATTATTAAAACTAAAAATATAATCTTAATCATATATTACATGATTAAGTAGATGTGAAAATTAAGTATAGTACCACAGTACAATATAAACATTCAAAATTGAATATCAATTCGTTCACTTACCGCAAGTGCAAGGACGAATTTGAAAACACGTCCACAAGCTGAAACCGAACCGAACCGAAACTAAAAGAAAATCGAAAATCGAAATTGAATTGAATATTTGAACGCCCATGACTAGATTAACAATAAAACACAACAATTTCAGTTACTTAAATTTATTAAAAAAAAAAAAAACCAACAATGTATTACATTGAGTAGATGTTTGAACAATAAAACTGAATATCATTAAATGTTGTGGTAAAAATGTTTGGTCCGTTCCTCTGTAGTATCTTATCTACTAATTTAAGTCCACGTATGAATAAAGCCAAACAAATCCTATATGTATATGATGACATTTATTTTTGTTTGCATATATTTTTGTCCATGAATTTGAATTTAGATTTTTTTTTTTTTTTTTTTAATGAAAGATTACAAAGTTTAGACCAAAGGAAGCATTTAATCTACGAGCCCACCACCTGCAGAAATCATCTTTCATACAGCTAAAAACTAACCATGCAGACCTTCAAGAGACACACAATGCATGTTCCCTTGTAATAATATTACAGCTATCTGAGTAAGACATCACACTACACTTACAAAAAACAGTCCACACTTGGTCGGTGTACCGGTTTTCCTAAAATAATTTTTCATACAATTCGATTCTACACTCTTGATTTAAATATTTTAATATGAAATTATTTTTCGGATACAACATTTTCAGGTTTTTTTATAAAAATTTCACAATTTATTTTCTAAATTTAGACCGTTAAATTTGTTAATATTATAGGATAATCTAATATTTATATTTAATTTATAATTGTAATACATTATCAAATTAATAATAGTTAAGTTTCAAATGTACTAAGATGGCTGTGTTTCAAATTTGTTAAGAAAATTCTAATCGTTATCTCATTTTTTCTATTTTGTACAAATTTTAATACTACTTAAAGTACTAAAATAAATTAAAAATAGTAAATAGTTAAAATCATTAGATCAAATGTATATAAATTATTTATATTATTGCATTATTTTATATATTTGAAATCCACATATTTATATGAGTACTAATCTAGTATTATTATAAACCATATTACTATCATCATAATTTTGCTAATGAATGCATGCTTAAAAAAATTTAAATCATGTATGATGTCAATCATTACATTGGTTTTGCAAACAAGACCAACGTCATTTGGTAGATATGCAGATGATCAGATCGATCGGTCTAACCAGTTATATTGTATTTTCGAACCAAAAACAGAGTTGAATTTTTTATAAACATGACAACATAAAAACTAATTAAGCCGATAACTAGGCTTGTAAGTACTTCTTCCGTTTTATACTTTTTCTCTTTATTTTTGTCACACAACGACCCATTTAAGTAAGTACATTGGCGTATATATGATAAGTCCCAAACATTACATTATAACATTAAAATTCAAATCATTAAGTGTAAATAAAAGAAAGAATAATGGGGGACGTTTCTAAATCTTCGACGTTCTTTGCCATGTTTCTTCATTATACGTGGGCTTCACTAACACTTGGCGACCTGCGATTGGTTGTTTTTTTTTTTAATCTAAAAATAAAATAAAAAATTTTTTTAAAAAAAATTTGGGACAATTTCATATGGTCTTAAATCCCCATTTATCCTTTGTCGTTTGCTTCAATAATTGCCGTGATCAAATCCCCATTTATCATATACTTAAAACGTCTCTTTCTTTGGTCAGTAAGACATATATTCTTTTTTGGTATACATCTAAAGATTTCAACAATATAAATTTTGCTATGTATTTTTTGAAGTGAATTAGATTTAACTGGAAAAATGGAGGATTAGGAAGAGAGAAATAAGAAAGCACTTGATTAATTCGAATATACACTTGATTTAAATGATGCAAAACTCGATTATTTTTCGTAATAAGTTTAGATCAAAGGAAGCATTTATCTACGAGCCCACCAACTGCATCAATCATTTTTCATATATGTTTCAGTAGTATTTTTGGAAAAATATATATTTTATTAGTATTTTTGAAAAAAAAAACTCATAATGGTTCTATGTAAATTTGTAAACAATAACTAGATTACACATCAATAAACAAAAGAACAATTTGAAAAGAAAATAAATGGTTCTAGTGTATTGGATTTTATATTCTAATTTATATGTTTTCACACACAGCTAACCCAACCATACAAGCCTTCAAGATACACTTCACTATATGAGGGACATACATTAGATTTCTTGATTCTACGGGGATCATTTCCCTCTTAATTTTTTATTTTTAATTAAGATTTTCTAGTTTTTGTAAACTAAAAACCGATCGTCTTGTCTTCCAGATTATTTGATTTGAATGTTACTTTTATAAAAAAATATTCAATGTATTAAATTATTGTCATATATAATCTTGTCTTTTTAAAATTGGTCTAATCAAATACCCGACTTATCAGATGTAAACATGTTCGACGAAATCGTTTAGTGTGGTAAAATTTCAATCACATGTTTTTCAGATATATATACACTATGTTTACATAATGTTATTAATATATTAAAGTAGTCTAATGGTAAAAAAGGTTTATTTGTGTCAACATTTTTCGAATTCGAAACTTATCTCCAACATAATAATTTTTTAGGACGCGGACATTAAATTCTACACAAAAACCTTGTAAACATAATAATATAGATTGCCACTTCTATATTTTTTTTGGTGTGAACAAAGGAAACGTTATTTAGGAACCCACACCATTTTGATTCCTTTGTCGTTTGTTTCAATAATTGCCGTGATCAAATCCCCATTTATCATATGCTTCAAACGTCTCTTTCTTTGGTCAGTAAGACATATATTCTTTTTTGGTATACATCCAAAGATTGCAACAATATAAAATTTGCTATGTATGTTTTGAAGTGAATTAGATTTAACTAGAAAAAATGGAGGATTAGGAAGAGAGAAATAAGAAAGCACTTGATTAATTCGAATATACACTTGATTTAAATGATTCAAAACTCGATTAGTTTAGACCAAAGGAAGCATTTAATCTACGAGCCCACCACCTGCAGAAATCATTTTTCATACAGCTAAAAACCTAACCATGCAGACCGTCAAGACATAATGCACGCTCCCTTGTAATATTACAGCTATCTGACTAAGACAATACATTACACTTCCAAAAAAACAGTCCACACTTGGTCGGTGTACCGGTTTTCCTAAAATAATTATTCATACAATTCGATTCTACACTCTTGATTTAAATATTTTAATATGAAAATTTCTTTTGGATAGCACATTTTCATTTTTTTTCTAAAAATATCACAATTTATTTTCTAAATTTAGACCGTTAAATTTGTTAATATTATAGGATAATCTAATATTTATATTTAATTTATAATTGTAATACATTATCAAACTAATAATAGCTAAGTTTCAAATGTACTAAGATGGATGTGTTTCAAATTTATTAAGAAAATTCTAATCGTTATCTCATTTTTTTCTATTTTATACAAATTTTAATACCACTTAAAGTATTAAAATAAATTAAAAAATAGTAAATAGTTTAAATCATGGGAATTTCAAAAATACCCCTTTTCTAATACCACTTTTTAAAAATACCACTCTTTCTAATTTTATCAAAATGTCACTATAAAATTTGAAATTTCTCAAAAACATATGTGTAAACTTATATTTATAGACACAAATTATCTTTATATGTGTGTAAATTTATATATATTTCATAAATACTGTATAAATACCTTTTAAAAATCTTTTAAAAACCATTTAAAACCCTTATTAAAACTATATAAACCTTTTAAAAACCTTATAAAAACCTTATAAATGCCGTTTAGAACCTTTTAAAACCTTATAAATATTTGGATTTAGTCTTCCAGTAGTAATGATGATCTTGATGTACCTTATCAACCATATAAAAGTTTATAATATTTCATATTTGAAAAAGGGTATTTTTGAAAATGGATAGAAAAGAAAGGTATTTTTAAAAAGGATAAACCAAAAGGGGCATTTCTCAAAAATTCTCTTAGATCAAAGGTATATCAATTATTTATATTATTGCATTATTTTATTTATTTGAAATCCACATATTTATATGAGTACTAATCTAGTATTGTTATAAACCATATTACTATCATCATAATTTTGCTAATGAATGCATGATTAAAAAATTTTAAATCATGTATGGTGTCAATCATTACATTGTTTTTGCAAACAAGACCAACATGATTTGGTAGATATGCAGATGATCAGATCGGTCTAACCAATTATATACTTATATTGTATTTTCGAACCAAAAACAGAGTTGAATTTTTTCTAAACATGACAACATAAAAGCTAATTAAGCCAATAACTAGGCTTGTGAGTATTCCTTCCATTCTATACTTTTTCTCTTTAGTTTTGTCACACAACAACCCCTTATAAAAGCCGTTACAAGCATGTGCCCCAATGAATACCAATAAGTAGAGATATTGCGATTAAATATATCTAAAATACGTCTAAAAATCAACACTAATTAAACTTTACTCACCTCGTTTCTTTTTAAGTGATGTTTTAGTAAAAAAAAAATTGTTTCCTTTCAAAAAATGTTTTCAATTTTCTATGTAATAATCGAATGTATTTAATATTTTTGATTTAATCTTTGCAGTATTAATCTTATATTTTTTATTGGTTGGATTCATTTTAATTAACAATTTTTTGATGGAAAATCGATAAATTATATGTTTTCTTACTATATGTGTAAAAAGTAAAAACTTTAAACATCATTTAACAAAAAATGGAGAGAGTATGTTATACTGCATAGAGAAAACATGATAGATTAAGATCATATTTAACTTTTTTTTTTTTTTGACATTTTCTCCCTTTTATCAATCTTCGAAATATAACCTTAGATATCCTCTTCGTATTTTTTAATTTATTCTTTTATGATTTCCTCAAAACAAAAGAAGATAAAAGTTTACTCTAAAGCTTCCATCTCTTCCTTAAACTTGACCATTGCAACTCTTGGCAATGTAACCACAATCTGAACCCCTCCGACCATATCCGGTTCCAACCTAGATGGTCGCATGAACATATTAACCATCCTAGCTGTCTCGGATGGGACGACCGGGACGACATTAACCGGCTCATCCCACCCGAAATCCATCGATCCAAAGATCCCTATATTCCTCCAATCCGTCAAACAAAACAACCCATCTTTTTTTCCCTTGATCGTTAGATTCATCTTAATGATCTTTTCAGTGTTTACAAGCTCTTCTTCAAGATAATCTTTATCGTGAGCCTTTCTCTTCGCTTCTTTTATGAGCTTTACGATATCCGAAACTGTCGATTCTTCCACTTCTCTAGCCGTTAGTGGCACGTACATATCAATATATGCGTTACCATAGTATCCATCAGGCAAAGGTGGATCCACAACATTGCGTATTCCTACTGATAAACCCAAAACAGTGACTCCATCTCGATCCAAATCAAGAGCTTTAACTCTTGACTTCCATAAATAAGCTCCTATGACTTCGAAAGTAGTGACTGCCTCACTAGAGAAGTCGTACTCTTTCAATGTAGCTTCTTTCAATCTTCTTATGCTATCAGCTTTAATATTTATTTTTTCAGTTACCTAACAAGGATAGAACAAACATATTATTTTAGATGCAAATTAAAAAAGTAACATATATATAGTATTTTGTTTTAGTGCATGCACACATGCATACCCAATCATCCGTTGGTAAGTAGGGAGAAGCGGCCGTGTCGCCGCCGGGAAGAAACGGAGGTTCATCATCGTCGTCTTCGGGTTTCCCGACAAGTCTTTCTCTTTCCCAAACCGGAGTCAACGTTGGTTTCTTGTTGCCGCCGGCTAACTCAGTTAAGGCACACATGATATGACCTTCACCATATCCATCGCACATTGCATGTGACATCGCCATCCCTAATATGAATCCTCCACATCCAAATTTGGTTACCTGTCATTACCAATAAGGTTATTTAATGTGGGATATATGAAATATTATTAATACATCTGAAGTTGATGTGAGAAAAAGTTTGGTCCCTATTAGTTTAATACTCATGATAGTCCCCTGGCACAAGCTGTGTTGTTTATAAATTTACGTTGTTTTACATCACAAAAAAAAACAAAAACTAATTACCCAACAGTTACGCTGCATTAAGTTTCCATGCACGAAATTATATAGACAAGACAAAACTGATTACATGGCAGTCATGCATGACCTGTCTGATATTAAAACATACCTATATTTTAAAGAGGTTTACCTGTTGTTACATATTTTGCTAAATTATGTCTCGATCGAAGATACATAAAATATGTAAGTAGATTTCTATATGTATGGGAATTTTTTTATGGATGTAAATATTTTTCCTTGATGATATATGATTTTTAATCCGAACAAAGGGATCCAAACCAAACCAAGTCGAGCCAAATTAACAAATCCAAAAACCAAATCGTATGACCATGAATGTTTGCAAAAATTTTAAGTGTTTTTAGATTATGTTTTTTAGTTGTAATTTGTGTTAAAAACTTTTTAAGAAATCTAAAATGATAACTTTTTAAAATTGACAAAAACTATAAAAAAATCTAATATTCTCCATCTTTTAGGAAATCTTTTGTCATATTCTTGATTAACTATAAAGTAAAAATTTTGGGAAAACTAAAACCAAGAATAACTTCAAAATCCTTAACCATTTAAAATCAAGAATATGTAAATGTGATAATAACCCAAATCCAAACTATAAACACCTAAAAATCATGAACAGTTTGTGTACCTGCAAAGCAAAAGGTCGATAACACTCGTTCTCCACGTGAAGTTCAGGCAAGAACTTCAAGGCCGTATCTGAGTCAATGTTCTCAAGATTATTCAAAGAAGAGAGCTCCACATTTTCAGTAGCCACCGTGAACGGCACACCACCTTCATCGCCACCGCAGGTCAACAGAAGCTTCCGGTCACTCTCCTGCCGCTTCAAACTCCCTGAAAGTGGACAATAATAGACAAGAAGATCAGACAAAGCCTCCTTAAGTAAAGCTTCCGCCTGGTCATCATTATCCACAACGTTCTTGGCTTTGAAAACGTAACAGGCCTTGTAGATGACCTCATTGTAAGGATCATTGTCAAGTGTTGAAAGAGAAAGAGTTTGTTTAGGTATGTGTTTTGAGGGTTTCACTATTTCGGTGAGCTTTTTTTGTGCCATTAAAGGGATCGACATGTTTTGATTTCTGTGTGTATAGCCTTAATTAGTGAACACTCTAGTCCTTTATAAACAAAAGATTTGGCGTCATGTTCGCCACGTCTAACCTTGAAGATTAACAACTGTCACTTTTATTTATATTCTAATTTAAATTAAGAAAATGGAAACTGTTTCATTTACGTGTCATTTTGAAAATAAACAATGCTTAAGTTATTATCATTGTTGTCCGCACGGCCAATGAATCTTCATCTTTATTTGGGAAGCTGAAAGCAAACGTAAGTAACTCGTATCATGTTTAAAGATTTGGTCTAACAACTGGTATTACGTACGTGGTAGCCACGGAGGGATCATATATATTAAAAGATTTGGTCTTGCCATCTTTATTTGGTCATTACAAATTAGATCGGACGATGAAACATAAACGTCATGAGATTTGATTTGTAACGCTTTGGCATAAAAAAATAAATAAAGAAACACTAGATAAGAACAACCAACAACCCCCTAATAAACTATCTCATTTTTGTCAGCAACCAATCAAGGCCAAAGACTACCAAACGAGAAAATCTGCGTTAAACATTAACATCTTAGTTATGAAGAAATGAGATAGTCATTTACACAAGTTGGCATTATCTATACAATCAAAATCAAGATTTGAGAAAGACACTTACATTGATTATCTTCACGCTATTTGTTTTTCACAAATTATTTCAAACAGATATCATACTTTACACGCATTTATAACAATATTAAAATAATTATGTACTCAAATATAATTTAATCACAAAGAAAAGCAGAATAACACAACTAAAAAACTTAGTGACATTATGAAAAAACAACATTTTCTGATAGTCATGTTTAGACTAATGCTCTAAATCAAGTCTTGCCATGTTTCTTTGGTCATTGCAAATTATATCGGACGATGAAACATAAATGTCATGACATTTGATTTGTAACGGTTTGACATTAAAAAAAAAAAACAACGAAACACTAGATAAGAACCACCAATAAACTAACAACACAAAAATACTACCAAACAAGAAAATCTGCGTTGAACACTAACATTTTTTTTTTTGACCTTTTAAAGAAATGAGATGGTCATTATTGTTTGGGATGATTTAGACCATTAAAAATCAAGATTTGAGAAAGAAAATTACATTGGTTGTTTTAACCACAATGACATTGTTTATTGTAAATATATATTGTAGGGAGGAGCTTGAGGAACTATCAGCTGAGTTTCTATTGAATTCGGCTGGACATTGGCCCATTAATTTTACCCTTACATTCTCTGGCCGTTTGTTCAAAACTTAGACTAAATACATTATTGTCATGGCTTGTTATCTTAGATTTCTCTTCTTCTGATTACTTTGTTTTAGTTTTTTTTTTTCCTCCTAAGTTTTCAAATCTTGATTGAAAGAAATGAAAATGAACAAGGACTACAACAATATTATCTTATTATTGAAATAAGCTATTAATATTTATTGATTTTATTATTAAGCTTACCACACACAAAAGAAAGACTAGTCATGCTTTAGTCTAGAGCATTGATCTCATCCTTGAACTTAACCATTGCAGGTCTTGGCAATGTAGTCATGATCTGAACCCCTCCAACCATCGCCTGTTCCAAACTTGATGGTCGCATGACCATATTAAACGTCCTAGCTGTTTCCGGGGGTACTACAGGGACAACATTCACTGGTTCATTCCATCTGAAATCCATTGATCCAAAAATCCCAATATTCCTACAATCTGTCAATAAATATAACCCATCTTTCTTTCCTTTGGTCTTTAACTTCATATTAATGATATTTTCTATGTTTGCAAGCTCTCCTTGGAGGTAAGTTTTACTCTGACCTTTCTTCTTTGTTTCTTTTATGAGTTTTACGATGTCTACGAAGCTTTTTGTTTTCTTCCTTTTCGTCTTCTACTTTTATACAAAAATCTTTGCTTTTCATTTCTCTAAATACATATAACTATTATAACCAAAAGTAAATATCTCAATTTTTAAAATTTAATAGTTAAAAGAAGGGTAACACCTCAGTTAGGAATATATTTGTCCACGCAGAGAGATTTAAAAGAACTGATTTGTTACACTTATCTTTTCGGTCGAATGTCTTAAGAGAACTTCACCTTATACCAGAGTGGTTTCAGGTTGAATAACCTTCCGATAAGTATTTGATGGAACTGTACGAGTGAAAACGAAAGACGGGAAAAAAATATATGGTAATAAAAAATATTTAAAGCATTGCATACGTTGTCGGATACGAGTGAACTTACGGACCTGTACCTGGATAGGACATGGACTCCATTGATCTAGAGGAGTATAACAGAAAAAAAAACGCCTCGAGCTTGTAATGGTGATAAGTTTGTAAATTGTAATGAGTGATTTTGGTCATTTGAGATTCTAGTTTAAGCAAAGATTCCAAAAACTTCATTAGATAAAACGGCAAAGTAAGACAGAAACAGAGAGAACAAAATCATCTGGTCAAGTTAGTGTCACCAGTTAAGTTTTTTGCAAAAATAACCCTAAGCACAACAGGTTAAAGTCCGGTTAAAATAACCTTTCCTAGAAAAGGCAAGTGTTCAAGGAATTCAATTTACAAATAGTTATGACTTAACGAGGTTTAGTGTGAGAGCAAATGCTTAACTCTGTTCCCTTCTCTAAAGTGGAATCGCTGGCCAAACATGTTTTGCTTTCCAGTTTACAAAAATTGTTCCTCCTATCTCATTTTCCTAAAAACTGAAACAGAGCAAAACGAAAAACTATATCGCAGATCTTAATTCACAGTTTTACTTTTTACCCTCCTTCCATTTCCAGAAGCGCGGCGGCCGAGCTCTCTAGGATGTTAGTGGCTCAGGCGTTATCAAAAAAAGGCGAAATCTTGATGTTCAAAAAGCTTTCAGAAAACCAATCATGTTTCTGAATCTTCTGCTTCTTCTTCAATTACAGTCGGGAGCGATCCTTCTCTGCTGAAACCGGGGTTTAGGAACTTGGCCACAAAAGCCCATAGCTTATAAACATCCTCAAAGTTTGACAAGAAGCTGAGTGAAGCTGTGACAACCTCAAATCGCACAAACCCATTTTTTCCACCGCGCTTACCAGCTTCTCTCTGCAGATGCAAAGAGCTATCTTCCTTGATCCTAGCGCCCCCACGGTGGTTTCGCGGAAGATCCATTATGCGTATGTGACTCAAGATACCAATACCAAGAGATACACCTTCTCTCTCAGCCAGTTTCAGAACAACTTCTGGACTTACAAACCCTTTGCTTTTGTCTTTCACGTTGAAAGCAACCGCTGCTCCTCTTTCGTACTTTATCTTTGGGCCATATATCTGCACAAGATTCATGTATCTGCTGCTACCGTCACTGCCTGGTTCAGGCACTTTCAGCTGTAGCAAAGAGATCACAAGCCAGTTAATCAGAAATCTGAGCCTAGTTGTGGTTTTATTAAGACCTAACATATTCACATGATCTATATGGCTGCAAACAATCTCGGGCTCCCTTCTGTCCCAATCATCCTCATTTTGATTTTCACCATCACTTTCGTCATATACACTGGCCAGAGAAGCTTCACCTTGGTCCAGACTATGGCTGATACGGTCCATGTTGAACGAAACCCGTGTTCCTCTGCTTGGTTGTTCATCTTCCACACCCAAAAGCCTCCCACCAGTACCCCTTCTTCCCAATAACCTAAACTCACCTTCTGTTTCTCGTCTAATTGCGTTATCTTTCATATCTGAAGAAATCTTGGAGCTTGAGCCATTTGATCCAAAACCAGATCCTGCACGATTTTCTTCCTGTATCTCTTGAATTTGGAAATTATTAGAGTTCCTCAGATTCCGTGATGGTGTTGAGTTCGTCTCCTGAGTAACTGACATAACTGCAGCATCAAACGAGAGGACATCTTTACCATCATACATAGGACTGCTGTAGTTCTTTGCTACCGGTTTTGGTGATTGGCGTTTGCTGGTAAACCAAAATGGTGGCAACGGAGAGGCGATTTTATGGTGGTTCAGGTGACCACCACGGTCAGACCCAAGCGGACTTTGACCCAAATCAATCCAAAAGGAATTGTCAGATGACTCATCTTCACTGAAAGCTGGGCTTTTCATCAATTCTCCAACCGAAACACTTTCATTTTCTTCAAATATGGTACTACTAGTCCCATCTCTATCTGATGTATTATCGTCTAAGAGCTCTGTTTCAAACACATCCCGCACTTGCGCTGACGTGTATGCACCAGAGAATACCGGCATCTGAGCGCCTCTACGAGCAGCTTCTGTTGTTGCTGGTTTATCGCCATTTGTACCAACGTCTTGATCTTCAAGACCAACCAATCCGTCCAGACCATCTATCGAATCACTGAGATATAACGGATATTGAGGTGTGATCTTCACTATTCCTGATCCTGTTTTACCGGACTGACTCTGAAGATTGCCCATCACTGACTTCTTAATCAACAGGCAACCAAAACCTGTAGGATCATGCCCAAATACTTTATAGAACGAAGTGATGATAAACTCTGGTCGAAACAATGATAACCCGAGTGAATCCATATCTTTGGGACCTAAAGAACCAGCATCAAGCAACACATGCCAGTTGTTCTGCTGAGCAAGAGCCATCCATTGGTAAGAGTACTTAGATCCCGTAACACGAGACTGAGCAGGAAACACAAACAACCCAACCGCAGAATCCTTTTTCTTCCTCTTCTTATGAGACAAACGCTTCTTCAAATCCGTGGAACACAGCTTCAAGGTTGGCCATTTAAACCAAGCATTATAAGCTTTCGCGCCTTTCTCTCTTGCGGTCTGAGCCATCCAATTCACAGACTGACTCTCATGATCGAACATTGTCAAAAGCCGCTTATTCGTATGAAAAGGGTAAGATTCCGCAAGCAACCTAAACGCAGAGCCTCTACTTACAGTGAAAACAAGACCATACTCACTCTCAGGGATGTTCAAATAATCCATTATCCTAGTCTTGAGATCATGTTCCACAGTTCCACTCTCAGCTCCACCATAAAGCGCATGGTTACTCAAATTCGCAGTAATCTCAGATAAACTAAACGTACAAGAATCCCAATAATGCAAAGTCTGAACATAGGAAAAAAGCCCAAATCCACAGTAATCAAGACATACCTTAGAATCCAACAAGTGAGCATACTCATCAGATCTCAACTGATCAACTTTCTCAGAAGTCTCATACTTTGGATACATTGTAAGAAACTTGTTAAAAGCTTCAAGAAGCTGAGGTATAGCATCATCAGACTCAAAAGTGCGTTCAGCGGCTAAAGCAGTGGCTCGTAAGAATTCACGTTGAGCGTGTAACCTAGCCAAGGATCTAGAACGACCCAAGCTCTCATCTTGATTCTCATTCTCAACTTGTTGAGATTTAAAGAGTGAACCATTCTCAGATGCTTCTTCAAGAGCATCTCTAAGCTTATCTTCATACAATTTCCTAAGCATTGAAGCTTTTCTTTTAACATCGATTGGTGAATCAGACCCATCTCCTCTTCTCCTGCTCTTACTCTTATCTAAGATCAGAGCAGCACAGTGATGAATTTGCTTCCACAGAGGAAAATGCATTAATCTCAATTTCTCAAAGCTTCTCTCTTTCTTCTGTTTCAGAGATTGGTAACCAAAAAAAAGATCTCTTTTTTTTTGCTCCTTTCCTCTAGCCCATAAGAACAAAAGCCCTAACCAAAAGTGAAGATCTTGAAACAGATCAAAGAGAAGCCTCTAAAAACGGAAACTTTCACAAAACCCACAAATACTAAAACGAGTTTTGCGGAACTTTCAACAAACAAAAAAAACAGATCCCAGCAAAAATTGTGTTGAATCGAAGAAGAAGAAGATGAATTTTTTTGTAAAGGCTTAAGCTTTTTTTTTGCTCTGTATTTTTTGTATTTTGTTTGTTGTTGGAAGATTAGAGAAGAAGATGATAATAAATGCAAAGCTGACTCCTTTCACCACCAATCTCTCGTTTCATTTACTATACTACAAATACACCACTCTCTCTCTCTCTCTCTCTCTCTCTCTACTCAGTGCGTTTCTCTCTCTCTTTACAGTTCGGTCAAAAAAGGCATTGACTTTTTTACAACAGTAGTGGTGGCGTTAGGGTTTTTGAGAAACTCTTTAATTATTTCAATTTTTCTGTAATCATCATTTGTTTAGTTGAGTATGAAAGTTACATTAAGCTCATTTTATCCATTGTGAAATGGACAGTAACTTTTTAATATCATTTTATGATGAATTTTTTGTTTATTTTTGAATTAGAGTAAAACAAAACAGAAATTATTTTTTAATTAAATGAAACAGAAACTTTTTTTTGTCTTATTTTCTGCCCTGAAATAACGTATGAATTAGTCAACTCTGCTAGTAAATAAAAAAAGTAATTCAATTTGTGAAAAAAAATATTAATTTTAAATATATAAATGATTTTCAATAAATGATGCGGATAATGAATCAGTTAATAATTTATTTTATTTTATATTTACGACGGATAATAAATCATTATAGATCAAGTGATGCGGTTTGTAAAAAAAATTATCCGTTCTAACCGTGGTAACTATCAAATCCTATAACTAAGAATTACATTAAGATAAATTATGAATAATTGGAAATCAATTTTAACTCCATTGAAATTTTCTTTTTTTCTAGTCAATTTAAGAAAGTAAAAAGTTTTTATTAGATATGTTGGGTAAGCAGACCAAATATGTATGCGTATTAAATATGTTAGGTTGAGAACAGTGGGAAGATTCTTGCTCCTTTTAGACTCCACATTTATGTAATAAAAGTTTGCAGAATATTATATTGAAAATTGGAAATAGCTTTAAAAAATGTATACGTGTTTATTATTATTAGCTTCTAATTATGAACAAATTGGTAATTACAAATGATTTTAAATGGCTTTATTTGGTAACCTTTTATGACATTGTAAACAGTTTGGAAAATTTTGGTTTAGAGACCTCTAATAAATTTACTTTAAATTTCAAGGTAAAATAAACAACTAAAACCCTAATAACACTTCAATTTTGTTAACCATGGATTATCTGAAAAAGTTTAATAGATTTTTATAGATTTAATTTTCCTAATCGTCCTTAATTATATTAATAACTAGAGTTTAAACAAAAGAGGGCTTGGAATGATTCTTTTAAGGATCCGTTGGAAACAAAAGATGTTAGACTTTCAAAATAGATTGCACATCGGCAAAGAAACCCAAAAAGAAAAATCTGAAAGAGTCATGTAGTAGCTTAACAAAAGAGGTTAGGTTTCTTCTAAAGCTCAGTTTAATTCCTTCCGCGCTGCCTTAGTCTTCCACCAATGCTGTTTGGATTAGGTTCAAGAGCCGCTTTCCTCTTACCTCTTGTTACTCGAGTACTCACTGAGTTAACCCCGGTCCCTGTCTCATCGGATAGGACCTGGTTATGAGCTTCGACAACAGGAGTCTGATTTTCCTTAGGTATTGTCTCCAAAGTCAGGTCTTGTCCTGTCCTTTCTTGAACTTCTGGAAGAGCATCACCAATGTGGGCACATGGATGTTCTTGTTTATCCTGCTTTGGCGTCTCAAGATAACTCAAGACCTGAACATCAACCAATATAGTCTGATCATCCACAGGAAGCAAGTAGCTTACTGGTCTTGTCTCCAAATTCGAGTTTTGTCCTATCCTTTCCTGACCTTTTTGCTTGGGTGGCTCAAGACAACTTAAGACCTGAACATCCACAAATGCAGCTTGATCATCCACAGAAGGTAATAAGAAGCTCAGTGACCTTCTAGCTGGATTTGGATTCTCATCTTCCTCTTTCTTCAAGGAATCACCATTCTGATTTTTGATTTTTGGAAGCTTTTGTACTTCTTCAGGGAGATCGCCATTCTGATTTTCGTTTGTGTTTTCATCTTCCTCTTTCTGCAAGAAATCATCAATCTGAAGATTTGGTACATCTTCATCATCAGTAATCTTTTCTTGAAAGGAAAGTGATCTCTTTGCAGAAGCTTGATTTGGGGTTGAGTCATCAGTTTGTGCCCGTTTGGTTTGAATCAGATAATGTGCTACAGACTTATACCCAAGTGCAGCTATCTGGAAACAATACCAATAAAGAAAGAAATCTTCATCTCTTGATTCTATTCAAGAAACACAAGATAATACAAAAGAACAATCGAAAGAAAACAACGCACCCTTCTGTAAATCGGACCAGTTGGAACCCATCCTTTATGATTCCGGCACACACTGCAATTGCAAATCCCACGACAAGGAGGACAAATCCAGTTTGGATTCTCCAGAGCTTCGAGCACATGTTCACCATATCTGTTCATCAACAACATTAAATATACATTCACCACCAATAACAGAATAAAAACTATATTGCTATCAAGTATCACCCACCTCATGAACAAACAATCACCACAGAATTGTCCTTGGACCAAGTTGCATACACTGCACTGTGTACGGTATCCCATCGTTTTCTGCCTATAAGACACATACATATACACATACACACTAAACCATTAAGCATAAATTTCATTTCACAGAACTGCAATACAAGTTCTCTACAGAGATGGGTTTGGTTCATACCTGCATTGGTGACAAGTCTTACCCGTAACCGGATCATAAACCCGTTTCCCATCCTTATCATAGCCATCAACAAAACAAGTCCAGGTTCGTTCTGTATTCCCAAGAAGCTTCTCATGTTCCTCAGTGTAAATCTCTGGCTTTGCCCCTTCACCAATCACCACACTCCCTAGTTTAGATGCTTTTTTATCCTTCTCATAAATCCCATCAGTGTAGTTAACTGGAGTTGTGTTCTCCAATCTAACAATCACAGAAGAAGAAACAACTCATAAACCACAATTCCTCCAGAAAAAATCTCTCATTAAACAGTGACAAATCGATTCATAAACCCTAATCTAAACTCAAAAACCCTGATTTCGACTCAATAACCTCAATTCCTCCAGCAAAAAAAATCTCTTTTTTAAACTCAATTCCAACTCAAAACCTCAAATTCTCCGGAAAAATCTCATTTTTAAACTGAGGCAAATCAATCCATAAACCCTAACTTTGACTCATAAACCCAAAAAAGGGAGAAAGGAAGAGACTTTTACCGAGAAGATCGGCGAGAAGGCTGAAGAGGAGGAGTCGATCTCTGAGCCAAATTAGGGTTACCACAAGATCTCTTAACGGGTCGATTCTCAGATCTGAGTTTGCGAGAGAGATTCAAGATGCCTAGATTTTGCATCCTCTGAAGATTCTCTTTGATCCTCTCTTCTCTGGATTGTTCGTAAAGAGACGCCTTTTGGGTTCCTGCCATCACTACTGGGTTGAGAAGGTCCGACTCGTGTGCTTCGGTGAAGATGAAGATGATTTCAAAAGTCTCTCTCTTTATGGGCTCCTGTGAAGAAATGATGATAAAGTTTAGATTTTTATTTTGGTTTGAGGTGATGTTACAGCAACGGTCATATTATATTTGAAAATGTTCAGGGAATTTGGGGATTGTGTTGGAGATAAGTACACCTTAATGATGGGACTTAATATTTTTAAGTATTTTTGTGTTTTCTAATTGCAAATACAGCCAAGTAAAATTAGTGGGGGATGTAGAAAGTTTTAAGGAATATAGAAAAAAATATTATCCCAATTAGTAATTTTTTTTTCTATTTGGTAAAGAATCCAAATATTGGATTTTATTTTTCTTTGTGGACTTTTTTTTTATTAGGAAAAGAATCTAAAATGTCTAAAAAACAATTGAGAGTCTCACCTAGTCAACCAAATTAACACCTAATCACTTCCATGGAACGCTCTCAACATATATTGATTATTGATTATGTACAAATTCAATGTATTATATTTGTGTGTGTCTTTTTTTTGTCAAATGTATTTTTATTAAACTTCCAGAAAATATTAAAATGAAATTTTGAGTTATAAATATAGAAGATCAGTGTAGCTTAGAATTAAAAAATTATTGTTGTACCGCTAGTTAAACTTCAAAAAAAATAAGAGTTTCACAAACTTATATAGTAAATTTTAAAATGTTCAAAAAAAACATCAAATATTCATTTTTGTAAAAAGAATACCCATATATAGAGACTACGCTGCAAATTTATTTTTTCAAACCGACCGTAATTTAGTCTTTTGTATTATAGTATTCGCAAATCTTTCCAAAAAAAAATAAATGATTTATTTTCCGCTAAAGAAACGAATTCAAACCAATTTTTCACAACACATGATAATGTAAAAAAACTAAAACTTTAAGAAAATGATTTTTAAAGTAGTTTCATACATCGTTTAAAATGGTCTCTCTCTTTAAATTACATAGTTACATATACACTTTTCACCCATTTTGTTAGTTTGTAAATTGTAACCACAAATTTTTTGACGGATATGATTTGGTATTTCCATTTTTGGCAGTGCTAACTTGGTCTTCAAAATTGATACTTTTATTTCTTGTTTCAACAAACTTGAGCTACTTGGACTAATTACGAGTCTAAATACACATAGAGTTCAAGCATCCAACAAATTAAAGGTAGCATTTGTTATTTTCTCACAAGCAAAAGGAAAAACTAGACCACGTTGATGAACCACCACTAGAAAAATCTTGAAGCCTACCACTTTTATATCAAAACGGTCAAACCAAATTCATTTTTAACCACTTAAACACTTTCTCACAAGTTTCCCTTCGATCTCAAACTAACACTTTTGTTATATACTTGTTATATAAATCTCAAACAATAACACCAAAACCTTCTCAAAACCAAGAAATATGGCTACGTCAGGCAGAGTCTCTCTAGCTTTCACTATCCTCTTCTTCTTCTTCTTCTTCCTCTTAACTCTCACTTCTTTAGTTGAATCTGCTGGTCGTGGAGTTACCAATGATAAAAAAGGCGGCGGGTTAGGAGCTTCCTTCATATTCGGAGACTCTCTAGTCGATGCCGGAAATAACAATTATCTACCGACGTTGTCGAGGGCCAATATGAAGCCTAATGGTATTGATTTCAAAGCTTCCGGAGGAAATCCTACCGGCCGGTTCACCAATGGCCGGACCATCGGTGACATAGTTGGTACGTACGAAAATGGAAAAAAATAATACCAACATATTCATCTACATATTCTATAACCCATATATAGTAAATGATATGTGGTATTACGTTATTAATCTTAAGATAAGATGTTCAACTAACACACCTACACATTTATGTTGACGTTTAGTTCATTTTCACTTCTTGTAAATCACTTTTATTAACATCAAAATAGAGTCTACCAAAAGTTTTTATAGCATCATGACTTTTATTTGATCTATACTAAAACGTTCAAACGGTTATTCAGGGGAAGAACTCGGGTCAGCCAACTACGCGATTCCATTCTTAGCACCGAATGCGAGCGGCAAAGCTTTATTAGCCGGTGTGAATTATGCATCTGGAGGAGGAGGAATCATGAATGGCACAGGGAGAATCTTTGTACGTACCAAAACTATTTTAATCGGTTTGCAAATGTCTTAAAACTCGTATTTACGAGTTCTGATTTTCTTATGGAATTGTAATTTTTTTTTTGGTAGGTGAATAGGTTAGGTATGGATGTACAAGTTGATTTCTTCAACACTACACGAAAACAATTCGATGGTCTACTAGGGAAAGAGAAAGCAAAAGAGTATATAAGCAAGAAATCAATATTTTCAATCACTATAGGAGCAAACGATTTCCTCAACAACTATCTATTCCCACTCCTCTCCGTTGGTACACGGTTCACTCAAACTCCTGATAATTTCATCGATGACATGCTCGAGCATTTACGCGACCAACTAACTGTAAGAAACAACCAAACCAATCTCGTTTTGTTATTTGATATCATATGTTATAAGCTAACCATCGAATAATATGGTTGGAATAATACAGAGGCTATATCAATTGGATGCAAGAAAGTTTGTGATCGGGAACGTTGGACCTATCGGATGCATACCGTACCAAAAAACGATCAATCAACTAGACGAAAACGAGTGTGTGGATTTGGCTAATAAGCTAGCAAATCAATACAATCTTCGATTAAAGAGTTTATTAGATGACCTAAACAAGAAACTTCCCGGTGCAATGTTTGTCCATGCCAATGTCTATGATCTTGTAATGGAACTTATTACCAACTACAAAAGTTACGGTAATACATTTTTTCTTTTTGCTGGTCTATAGGTTTATACACGCATGTTACAAACTTATTTAGGCCTATATGACTTAGAGATATTTGTATCAACGAATTTTGGCAGGGTTCAAAACCGCGACAAAGGCTTGTTGCGGTAATGGAGGACAATACGCGGGTATAATTCCGTGCGGACCGACTTCGAGTTTGTGCCAAGAGAGGGATAAGTATGTGTTTTGGGATCCTTATCATCCGAGTGAAGCAGCAAATGTCATCATCGCGAAGCAATTGTTATATGGTGATGTCAAAGTTATATCTCCAGTCAATCTAAGCAAACTTAGAGATATGTGATTTGATTGTTTGTTGAACTATAAAAATGTCCCTTTTGGAACATTTATTTTATACACAGTTTAATTTCTTACATTTACGTTTGTTATACGCCAAAGTTAAAGATCAACTCTTTTGTGTATGAAATTTGTTGCCGTGTTTGATTTTAGTGAGAATGCTTTTGTTTCTGTCAAGATTGTGATAAAACTCAAAATATACGAGTCGTTTTGCAAATTAACTCGGTAAAAACCGGTTCAATTAAAAGCCGGTTATTGTTACAACTCAAACCGGTTTCGTCGGTCTGGTCCGGTTTAAACAATGTCTCTTTGATCTTTCTCCCTCTTTAGGGTCGTCGTTAATGGTTTCCTCCTCAACTCGCCGGCAACAAAAACCCAGAAATGTCGTCTCTTTCGAAGAAAAGGCATAAACTTTACAGTCGTTTCAGCCACAGAGCATAATCCCCTTCTCTAAATTGGCCGTATCTTGACTTGGATTCTCAAAAGCACCTGCTTTAGATTTGAGTATGTTTACTTTGTTTTGCCTCGTTAGCCTAGATTTCATAGTTTTATTGGTTCAGTGCTTGAAGTTGTTTTGATAGTAGATTAATGGAAAAGTTTTGTCCTTTCTTGAATCTATATGAGAAACAATACTTCTGTATCTAGTGAAGCGTTGGAGTTTGATGGTGGTCACATTTAGAAATCACTCTGCGATATTGGTTATATATGGTGATGTTGGCGCAATGTAGAGCTTAAAGTTCGTTCCTTTATAATGATATGACTGCTTCTTAATGTAATACAGTTTTCTTATTAGTGTTTATCTTTCGCTTCTTAATCTCAGATTAGGCAATAATTTCTCTACAATCTCTAGGAGAAGAGCATATAAAGGTGTGGAGAACATTGACATATGATTGGTTTACAGTAATCCTGCAGAGTCTGAATCTCTTCCACATCCACTGCTGTCACACAGTTACTTGCAACCTCCAGCTGCGCTTTCACCTTGTACCAAGTCCATGCGCCGTGGCACACGCCATGGACAAGCACAAACTGTTTCTGGTTCTTCTTCTCAATTGCCTTTCTTACTCTCAACATCTTGGTTCAACACTTGCATACATACGGTAAGTTTCCCAAATACTCTTTGTATATTGACTGTTAGTTTTTGGTCGTTCTCTGAGATCTAGAGAATGCTAAAACAACACTACATTGATTGTTAGATTTCTCATTTCAGCTATAGTATGAAATAAAGTCTGAACGTTTAGAAAGATCCATTTTAGAACATGTTCAATTGTATTAAATCCAGATACATCTTTTGTTGGTGGAACTGAAGACTCCATCTGAGGTCATTTGTTGGCGTGTTAGCGTTCGTGGTGATTGTTTCAGTGACCTTCACAGGTTAGAAGTGGTCATAGTATAGGCAGGAATAAGTTATTGAAACGAGAGATTATAAAAGATTAGTTGATCGGCTTAGTTAGTTTGGGTGAAAAACTGCTTAGATTTCTCAATATAAGAACTCTTATTAATATAAACAACACCAGTGAGGATCCTATATATATTTAGGCAATATTTACCTGCTATCTTTAAACGAGATGATGACAAGAATTATTGAGGCTTTGATACATTGGATCTTTGATCCCCCATCACTTCTTCAACCTCCTTAATATTCTTGTTCATAATCCTTCTATGTTTAAAATCCTTGGGCACACATTATCATATTTGCATACAATATAACAAACGCGACCAGTCTCCACCCTTTCTCCATGAAGCTTCAAGTTGTAACTTCACACACCCTAGCAGAATCCACGGCAAGCACATACCACTCATGGTTATTTGCCTTCTCTTTTTAGCCTCTTTGTTCATCTATTCTTGTAACTAGTTTCTCTGGTAATAGAAGATATAGAGAATGGTTCACTAATATTTTACTGACCATTTGTTTTTACTTAGTATTGACTATAAGATCTAGCTATGATTATATGAACCCATGAAACCTTCTTAAACAAAATCATATTCGTACTGCTAAACATTCTTCTAGTATGCATTTTCAGCTTGTCTACATATAGCAGATCACGACTAACTTTTTTTTTAATTTTTTGATAGAAGCTGAAGTTCATAGTAATATACTTATAAATGCAGGTTTATAGGCATATGATCTACATTAATACGATGCTGGAAATTTTCAGGTAGTGTGTTATCCTCTTCTTACATTCTTATTTATATAACCATTCTTACAAATAATATTATTTGGTTATGTCTTATACATATAGAGTGTACTCACCCATATCACTCTCATCTCGCTTAGTGTAGTCGTGAAGTTGAATTTTGTAACTGTGATGCAGTGAAGATCTCAGATTCATTTAGGCATATTTATCTGCAATCTCCAAAAGACGAGTACAGAGTTCTTGAGGCTTGGAGAACATTGCCATATGATCTGCATCTTTGATCTCCATTACTTCTTTTACTGGAAAGTTCTTGATCATCCAGCGCTGGTAATCCTCGGTTACCGCGCGGTCCTCTCCACAGATGATATATATACGTGTAACGGATCCATACCCTTCCTCACTGAAGCTTCTTGTCCCTGCCAGATTGTTTGTGACGGTCGGGTTTACCCTCACCAACATTTTTGCTAATTCAAGATCCTAATCCGCCACAACAATCATCAATTAAAAAGTTGACTGAGGTTACAAGCAAATCTCATTTGGGTTTTAAGTAGGAGTCTTACTTGGACCGGAGAGAGTTGATACAAATCCCTGGCCATGGATTTTGGTCCGAAAAGAACAAACTCTAGAGGGCGATCAGGTGTCCCGTAGGTTCCAAACACAGTATCCAACGATTCTTCTTGTGGATCACTTCTGATCAGCTGATGATTTTCAGGCAGATATCAGAAATCAATATGAAGAGATCAGACTATGCAATCGAATCATCGTACCTTTTCATAAACATAAGCAGGTAGATTTCTTGTGTCCGGCATGAAAGCTGTCAAGAAGACAACAGCAGCAATCTTACAATGAAATATGTCAGCAGCAAGTGCAGCTGGTAGTCCTCCCATACTATGCGCAACAAGAATCACCTTGTCGTCATCCGGACCAAGAGAACTCATAAACTCAAGTAATGGTTTGCTGTAATCCTTCAGAGTTTGAATCTCTTCCAGTCTAGTCATGTCTATACCCGATGCAGCCAGATCCACTGCAGTCACACAGTGACCTGCAGCCTCCAGCAGTGCTGTCACCTTGTACCAAGTCCACGCACCGTGGCACAGGCCATGGACGAGCACAAACCTTTTCTGGTTGTTCTTCTCCATTATCTTTTTTACTTTCAGCATCTTGTGGTTCAACACTTATAAATTATTAAGTTTCCCGCATTTACTATTTGGATGGTGACTAATAGATTTTGGTCATTGTCTGACATCTATTAGAATTCTAAACCAGACACTATATTGACCATTAGTTTTTTTATTTATTTGTTTCAACCATCGAAAGCAATAAATTCTAACCTTCTGCAGCAAACACTTAAGTGCATCAAAACCTCGTACATTTGCATTGGTAGGCTTGAAGGCTCTGATACCGTATAGATTTAGATAGAAGCATCTTTCTTTTCATGAAATCAAGACGCTTTGTAATTTCTTTAAAGGTCATTACAGTATTCATTACCATTCTTGCATACAGGTCTTACATGAATCTTTAATCGTTTGTTCTTATGAATCTTTATTCTCATATGGTTGGTTGTTGTGGTGGAAGCTGAAGTTGGTTATTTATTTGCAGTGACAATCTCAGGTTTACTTAGGCGTATTCATCTGCAATCTCCAAGAGAAGAGCACATAGTTCTTTAGGCCTGGAAGACATTGCCATATGATCTGCATCTTGGATCTCCATTACTTCTTTCACTTGAAAGTTACTGATCATCCAACGTTGGTATTCCTCAGGTAATATATTATCCTCTCCACATATGATATAAATACGTGTAACCGATCCATACCCTCCCTCAGTAAAACTTCTTGTCCCTGTCAGATTGGTCGTAACCACCGGGTTCACCCTTACCAACAATTTCGCCAATACAAGATCCTAACCGTTGAGAACAGAGAATAGAAAAAGATTGACTGGTTACTAGCAATCTCATTTGTTAGAATAAGGTATGATTAGGCTTGGAGTCTTACTTCTACCGGAGACTGTTGATACACTTTCTTGGCCATGAACTTTGGTCCCAAAAGAATAGACTCTAGAGGACATTCTGGATTCCCGTACCTCCCAAACAGGGTGTCCAACCATTCCTCTCGCGGAGTGCTTCTCATCAGCTGGAGATTTCAATCGCATATCAGAATACAACACTCAAAAGCGACCATACCGTGCAGCCAAATCATCATGTTCTATATCAAAATCATACCTTTTCGAAAACGTAAGCAGGTGGGTTTCTTGTGTCCGGCATGAAAGCTGCCACAAATACCATAGCAGCAATCTTACAAGGGAAGATGTCGGCAGCAAGTGCAGCGGGTATTCCTCCCATGCTATGCGCAACAAGAATCACCTTCTCGTCATCTTGACCAAGAGAGCTCAGATACTCAAGTAACGGTTTGGAGTAATCCATCAATGTCTGAACATCTTCCAACCTGGTCATGTTTCGACCTGATGCAGCCAGATCCACTGCAGTCACACAGTGACCTGCAGCTTCTAGCTGTGTTTTCACCTTGTACCAACTCCACGCTCCGTGGCAGACCGCATGTACAAGCACAAACCGCATTATCTCCATTTCATTCTTGTAGTTTCATCATCTTGCTTCAACTCTTATATATACACATAGTCTGAGCTATACCTCTGTACGGTTTCACCATGCTTCTGGTGGCTTGTCGCGTGCAAACTCTTACGTGATCAAAGAGCTCAAATTTGTATTTACATATCTTTCAAGCTAAATACAAGCGAAAAGTCTAATCTTGGAATGATATCTATGTAAAACTCTAACCACCACAAAAATAGCACTACTTTTTGGACTTTTATTACAGTAGATGACTAGATGTTACCAAACTCTAATCATTTTTTTTGTTCTCTCTGTTTTTGCTTTCTTGCTCTTCTATTCTATCGTTCAGAAAAAAATACTACACTAAGTAATACATAAGAGAGAATCATAGTGACTCAGTGTGCAAATCATGAAATATGAATCGTTAATTGTGAAAACATGAAAATACATTTTTCTTAAAATCACTCATACATCACTCAAATCTGGCTAATATAATTATGGTTGAAGCTGATTTGTGTAACTATAATGCAGTGACACATATCTTAAGTTCATTTTAGGCATATTTATCCGCAATCTCCAAGAGAAGAGCAGAGAGTTCTTGAGGCTTAGAGAACATTGCCATATGATCTGCATCTTTGATCTCCATTACTTCATTTGGTGGGAAGTTCTTGATCATCTCAAGCTGGAACTCCCTAGGTACCCCAACGTCCTCTCCGCATACGATATATATACGCGTTACGGATCCATATCCTTCCTCACTTAAGCTTTTTGTCCCTGTCAGATCAGTTGTAGTGAACGGGTTCACCCTCACCAACGTTTTCGCCAATTCAAGATCCTAAAGCACAACACAAAGAAACAATTAATAAAAGTTAAACTGAGTCACGTTTTGGTTTAACTAGACGTGTGGAGTCTTACATGGACAGGAGACAGGGTATACAAACACTTGGCCATGAACTTTGGTCCAAAAAGAGCAAACTCTTGAGGACGACCATCATGTTTTGTAATCACAGTATCCAACCAGTTCTCTTGTGGACCGCTTGTGATCAGCTGCTAGTTACCATAAAGATATTAGAATCACACGTTAAAAGAGACCACAACAACGCAATCGAATCATACCTTTTCGAAAAAAAAACCAGGTGGGTTTGTTGTGTCGGGCATGAAAGATGCCGTGAAGACAATAGCAGCAATCTTACTAGGATAGATGTCAGCAGCATACGAAGCAGAGACCCCTCCCATACTATGAGCAACAAGAATCACCTTATCATCTTCACCCGAACCAAGTGAGCTAAGATACTCAAGAAGTGGTTTACAGTAATCTTTAAGAGTGTGAATATCTTCAACTCTAGTCGTGTTTACACCCGATGCAGCTAGATCCACCGCGGTCACACTGTGGCCTGCAGCCTCTAGCTGTGTTTTCACCTTGTACCAGCACCAGGCGCCGTGGCAGATCCCATGGACTAGCACAAACCGCTTCTGGTCCTTATTCTTATCCATTTTTTTTTGTTATGTTATAAGATTGTGTAATCTAAGTGTTCTGTATTGTTCATTTTATATAACCATGGAGGTTAAACAACTGACAATATTTTAATATTGACGAAGAGTAAATCTAAAAGAAATGACTACGTAATGCCAAATTGCCAATTATTGATAGAAAACTCCCCAAGCAGGCCGACTTGGAATTTTTCCTTTTAATATTTTTATCCTAATTTTTTAACAAATGACTTCATTTTTACATCATTAGTTTTTTGAATAATTTTGTATATATTTTTTGTTAGTCATAAGATGATTGATAGATATATTTGAGGCTAAAATATCCAATGATAGTTTAGATATATAATCCACAATTTTAGTAGAGTATAATAATTTATGTTTATTATATTTATTAATTTAGTCAAGATAGTAATTAATATTAATATAGCCTCACTGTTTTGCTATTTGTTTTTCTATTAAAAGGGTAACTAATATAAAAATTTCAATAGTAAAATTATATAAAGTAAAATAAAAAATAATAATTAAAAGATGATGAGGTGTCAATCCTTCTAGAAATTCCTTCACCTTTTTATATATTTGATGATATTTAATTTCGTACAAAAAGTAAATATGCAATCAGAAGATGCACTAAAAATAGTAATAATGTTATTTCAGCTTCTTTTTCTGTAATGAGATTGATAGAATTATTATATAAATATAGCTAAAAAGATGCTAACAATTTAACATCGATTCTGTATGTACTCTCTCATGCTTTTTGGTTTCCTTTGACAAACAAATAAACTAGACGTACGTACACAAAGCTCATAACATTGATTCTAAAAATTAGGTAGAAAACAAATCCGGGGCAAAAACATTTGTGAGGTAAAAGGTTCTATTTGTTTAGAAAGTATTTTCAACTTATTTTTTCTCGACAGAATCAGAATTAAGAAACATTTTTGAACTTTTTTTATTTATTTAGGATCCGAATAATAATAGAGTATTTAGCGGTATGAGAAAAAACAATTATGATACAGTACGATTTAACTACTGTATATATATAAAAATTGCAAGATATATACGATTAATACATAATAAATAGTACATAATAAAATGTTTTAATTGTATTAGTACAGCAAAATACAGTACTATTTATGTACTTTAACCCTTTGAGTATTAAATATAAATATATAAAATTTAAATAAGATAAATACACATGTTTAATTTTTTTTAGTAGTAAGCTAAATAAAGTATTTAGCTTTTGAACTAATTAATTTTTAAAAAATATTAATAGAACACGAAATTTATTAAATTTAATTTGACTATTATACTCTAGAGGAAAGAAATTGTTTATTTTCCATCTTTGCATATGAGGGAAATATAGAAAATTGTGTAAATTTTCGTAAGTTAAAATGTTTATTATTGGTGGAACTAAATTTAAAATTGTTTATTGCCAATAGATAAGCGGTTTTGCTTATACCGCTGGATTTTACATGTAACATAAACTTTAAGTGCTTTATTTATCAGTTGACTTATAAAATTGGCTAGATATAATGAACGTCATGGGTCCTATATGTTGTTTTAGCAACATCTTCCTCTTTCATTCGTATTTGATGATAGCCTGCTTGTAAATCCAACTTTGAGAATACGACCGAACCATTTAACTCATCTAAGAGTTTTACCACAGTTCAGCCCATGACAAATAGTGATGCCAAGTCTTGGGGTGAGAGAACATTTTTGTTTGTCTTTCTACAAAGAAACATAAATTTATGTAGTGGTGGATTTGTTTTCCTAAAGTAAAAAATAAATAAATTACGATTAACATTTTTAAAGTACGACTGATGGTAATAAAACATTTCTAAATAAAATCTGTAAATGTACTGGTGTTGCCACGTTCAAAATAGTGGTGGAATTTTTTTTATTACACCGTCATTTATTAATATAACTGTATAATAATTACAAATTCAAAAATGTTAGATACTTACTAGTATTACTTTTTTCCCCTCAAACATATACTTACTATTACTATTTTAGTGAATAAGAGTGATTGACCAATAAAATGTTGTTTTTAAAAAAAAATTATGTATATGTAGTGGTTTGTGTAGCAGGTGCAATACCATGGGTATAGTTGTTTTGAAATTAAAAGGTACAGTAATATATTAAAATATAGTGATATATATTATTGGGTAGCATAGTTCCACTCATGAAAGTTATCTCCACAAATAAAATATTATCATGTTGGTGCAGAATTTGACACTTATTATCCATTGAGTTGCTTTCTTGGCAATGAGATAAGATTTGTAACAATTATCTGTCAGATAGATTTGTATTATAGTAGAGAGAAGCCATACTTTATGGATGTTAGTATCTGCCTTACTTCCCGAAGCTCGAGAATTTTGGTTTAAACTTCAAAGTTCCAAGTTCAAAGTTCGAAGGTAGAAACTTCAAAGTTCTTCTTCTAATTTTACAGCTACTACAAAAACAACATTTGTTGCATCACTTAAATTAGATCACAAAATTAAGTGAATTTTTTTGAATCAGTTATTTATGAGTGAAACAAATATATACATAAGGTTTAGCAATCAGCATTATTTAAAATAATTGATGTTGTAATTAACTAATTTTTCATCAATTCTACAAGATTGATACAATTTTTCAATTATATTTTATTATTTCAACAAAATTGTTAGTAAAATATAAATTTCTTACATAGAATAGGTAAACGCCGTATCTATTGTATTTTGTTAACATGACTTCTAATTTTATTTATTGGCACTAATTACTTAAATTTATTATTGTTCTAAATTTTTTATCCTACTTAAAAGATCTAAGTCAAAGGAGGGATAAGGAGGGATTTATAAGCAACCAAGTCTATAAATAACCATATCTAAAGCTTAGTGGTCCCTTAAGAAGTTAAGTCAATTCTTAAATTATTAAATTATCTAGTTAATTTAACATTAATTACATTCAAGTGGTGGTAATATTTCAAATCAAACATTTTAATGATTTAAATATTAAATTATTTATTATAAATGATACAATTATTAAAATCACTTTTACAAGAATTGAGCATGCATTTAACATCAAATATTCACAAGTGATAAAAATAATTAACATAAATTATTATAATTGTCACAAATACTAATATCATTTATATAAATTGGTAAAAAGGGTATTATTCATTCATTCCTTTTTTTGGAAACATTGGTATGGAAAAGTGTCATGAATGTTTTTCTCTCCAAATATTTATTTATTTAAATTTTAATGTTCCTCTTTTAGATAAAACAAAATATATCTATGAGAAAAGAAAAGCTCAATGCCATTTACAAGAACCAAATATATACTTGAAATGAATATTATAGATTACTTTTAAATTATGAATTAACCTATAAAAAATTTGTTAAATGAAAATGAAAAAAAAAACATAACAGTGGGTGCAAAGATATGTACTGAATTCAGATTGATGGGGTCAAAAATCATAAATTAATAGGAAAAAATATACTCATATATATTTGGAAATGAAAGAGTACTTTTCTCCATATCACAATTCGTCTTTGTAATTCATGATTCATATTACATTGTTTGGCTAATCATATAGTACTGTGTTAGTAAAATATGTTCTCATGATATAGTGAAGTTTTTCTTTTTCTTAACTCTGATACCATTCAATGGGTACCCATTGGGATGTTTTGCATATGTCGAGAGTCGTACGTCCTTGGTAAGTTCTTCGTGTAGTTTAACTTCTTGAAGAATATAAATCTCGAAAGATTACAACAACAAAACTGATAAATGGAATAAAAAGTTCTTTTTTGCTAAGAAAATGGAATTAAAAAAAATGGAGATGAGGATCAGATTTTAGTGGTGCCAAGTTAGTGTCTGTCGTGTCGACATGTACAACATGCGAGTTATACTTTTAAATTAGAATACAAGAATGGTAATATTACAACAACATTAGCACAAACGATTAGGTCAGTTTTTTAGTACAAAAGCCTGAGGTCATGAACTGAAACCACAGAGAACATGGCCTATTGGTTTTTTTTTTTTGTCATCTGATAATATTAATAAAATTTAAAAGATACATTGTGAAATACAGCTTAAGCCGACGGAAAACAAAAATATCTCCAGAATCTAAAGCTCCAACAAAGGAAACAAAGCCGAAAAACGATAAGAAATCCCGAAAACATAAAGCGAAAACAAAGGATAGCAACACATAACAGAAAATGTAAACCCGAAAAGAAACGAATCCTTAAACAAAAGACACAGACAAAACCCCAAGAAAACACATTAGTCTTAAGAAGCAGGAAGAAATCATGTATTGAAGCCCCTGAAGAAGAGATTTATCAAAGATGATTGGTTCTAAAATATATTACATTAAAATATATGATTGACTCAATTGATTTACATATTACATTAAAATCCTCATCTTTTAAAAGACCATTAATTATATTTTATTTTCTTATTCTCTCTATTTTCATCTTACTTAATTTAATTTAATTCATAAAATAGTTCTTGTGAATATGATTTCTCATAGATGTACATATGTATTGAAAATTGATGTAATATACAATCATCAAAATATACATATGTATTGAATACAATTTCGAGCTATATACAATCAAATGTACAAGTGAAAAGTCGAATCTTGAAATGATATTGATGTAAAACTCTAACCACCACGAAATTATTGACACTACCTTTTTGGACTTTTAGATGACTAGATGTTATCAAACTAAATTATAGTTGCATACACGTTAGATTCTCGACATATGATCTATTTTTATGGATCCTGTATACTACAAAATAAATAATTGACCACAAATAATACATAAATGATAAATTTATATAGTTTTTTTCCTTTTTCTTTTCTCTCTATTTTTATTTTCTTGTTCTTATATTATAAAGAGAATCATAATGCAAAGAAGAAAATATGAATCTTGTTGAAAACACGAAAATATATTTTTCTGGTGAAAGATTAACATTTTCTTATTTCTATAGACATATATATATATATATATATATATATATATAATAAGTAG